ACTCCCCCTGCTTGTGTTCCCTCTCTTGCTGTGTCTCTCTCTGTCAAATAAATAAATAAAATCTTTAAAAAAAAAATTAAAGATTTTATTTATTTGAGACAGAGAGAGAGAGAGAGTACAAGCAGGGGGAGCAGCAAGGAGAGAGAGGGAGTAGACACCTCGCTGAGCAGGGAGCCGGATGAGGGGCTCGATCCCAGGTAGGGATCATGACTTGAGCTGAAGGCAGACACCCAACTGACTGAGCCACCCAGGCACCCCCTGTTGCTTTTAATTCTAACAGGCATATTACTTACATTTCATTTAGATCTTTGGCTGTGGCCTTACCTTGTTTTCATTTGGGATAAATTCCTCTGACTTCTCATTTTGTCTAAGTCGCTGCCTTCTTGTCTATGTTCCAATTATGTTTTGTGCTCCTGACAGTAATGGCCTTTTGAAGATGTCCTGTAGTGCCCACAGCCTGGTGCTTCAGTGAGTGCCTCCGGTGTGTGTTGTGTGCATTCTGCTGTTGTGTTCTGACTGCTCTGTCCTTGAGGCCAGTCATCTGCAAAGGCTCTTTGCCTGTGTTTGGTACCTGGCTTGAATGTGGTGAGTTTTAACTAGGTGTGCTTTGGTCTGCTTGTGACACGAGTCCCGTCACCACTTCCACTGGAACTGAGGCCCTGCAAAACTCTCTGGTTGGGAGATGTGGTATGGGCTGGGCTTTGTGCTGGTCTTCTGGGGGAAGGTCCCCCCACAGTGGGACTGAGGCAAGCCTAACTGAGAAGGGTGGTTCCACTGGAGTGCAGGGGAATGGTGCTTGGTGTAAGCAAGTTAGGTAGCCAATATTGGTGCCACAGTGCTTCCTACAGGTGGCTCCCTGTTTATGCTGAGGGGTAGGGGAGGGAAATGGCACTAGCTGGTACCTCTGTCCCTGGAGAGATGTCTCCATGAACTCTGCCTCTCAGGGGCAGCTCCAAGAAGAGGGAGTAATCTCCCCACCATGTGCCCCAGCACTCTAGATCACCTTTCCAAGCTGTCTGCCCGCAGGGTTGTCTGCCTTCTCTCTAGGAGCAGCATAGTGCCTATGGGCTCTATCCTAATCAATCCTGTTGAACATTAAAACTCCAGGCTTTAAGTCCTCCTAGTTGCAAGAACTCATGAAATTCAGCCCCTCTTGTTTTCTGAGCCAGGTGGCTATGGGGAAACGTCCTTGTGCAATCCAGTGTGCTCCTCTCTCTCGCCCTTTTCTGTGACCATAGCTCCTTCCCCTCCACAACAACCAGGATCCATTTTCTCTCCTAAACCATGTCTCCATACTTCCTACCTTCTTCGATATGGCTTCTTCTCTCCCTTTAGTTGTAGAGTTTGTTCTGTTAGTCCTCAGGTCTATTTCTGGGGTATTTAGGATGATTTGATTGTTATGTACTTCTATTCATGGGACAAGGCAAGACTAGGGTCCTCCTACTTTGTCACCATCTTCCTTTATCTCTGACTACTCACCCATCTATTTACCACTGGGTAACAAATTATTATAGTGAAGTTGAATCTTAGTGTGTATATATATTTAATAGAAGGATGTTGACAGATAATATACTTGAAGTGTTACATTTATTAAGCAAAAATAAGTTATTTATTTTTAAGGATCAGGTTGTTTCTTGTAATGTTGCACATGTTTTAAACAAATTCTTTTAAGATGTAAACCATCATGTTTTATTAAAATTGAATAAGCCATTAAAATTGCTACAGCATATCACACCTAAGCTCTCCAGTACAATGTTAAGCAAATATGTATTGTAGAGAAAGCACCAGAAGTAGTCAAGGCAGCAAGACTGTTTCAAAGTAAGGTTAGCTAAAGCCTCTCTCCTTTTTATTCCTCATTCCCTAAAGGAGTTACACTACCGAGTGAAGGAATTTCCCAGCTGCAGTTTTGAGGCCACAAGTGCAAGCTTAAATGATTGCTCTCGAGACTTCAGCTTTTGCAGGCAATCATGTCCAAATAAATTACAATAAAACCGTATGATTTTGTTATTTTAACATCAAACTGAATGGTGGACTGAAATCAACACGTGAAAGAAAGGCTCAAAGCTTGTTCCTCTTCTAACAGAGTAGTGTCATTCTAGTTTTATTGATGCATGAATTTTCATAAAGTGCGGTAACAAAATAAAGTGAAAGAAGTTTTGAAGATCTATATACAACTCTGAAATTAAGATAAGTTACTGTGTTCTTGAGAGAATTTTAACTTTGTGGAAGCTGTAACATACATTAAAAACTCATTGATCCAAGTAACATAATGATTCTTTTTCCCCCTTAGATCAATCTCTTATGAAGGAGTATATAATTATGATAGCTTATAAGCCAAGATTAGATTAAAAGGAAATTTATGTGCTATAGACTAAATCCAGATACAGTCAGGTGCTGAGCATTATTTCTGGCTTCAAAATAGGATGTATCTGTTTCGTCATCTGGTTGGGGTATGAAAGGCATAGTTTGATGCTGCAGATTTTCCCAGTCCACATCACTGAAGAGAGGATGACGTTTCAGCTCTTAGGAAAAATATAAAACAAAATAGAGCATTATAACACTGTTACCTAAGTAAGTACTGTTTTACAGGAAGTAAGGGAAGATCTCAGATATATCTTGCCCTGTTTTGCTTCACACATATGTGTTTAATGTCTGTCTCTCTGGGCAACCATGTACTTCATAATGGCACACATTATGTCATTTTGTATAACAGTTGACATATGACAGGTGCTTGGCCTGTATTCATCAAATGAGTGAATGAATGGTTTTCCTTAACAGAAGCCTATATTATCTCATGCCTCCATCTTCTCACACAATCCCTGACTTGATGGGACAAGAGCTTGGCCTGCTTCCTGCTCCCAGACACAGCTTCCACACCACTGATCTTCATGATTAATGCTCCACTTCTCATTCCAAGTCCTTGCTACCTGTTTCTTTCTCTGCAATCCTTATCACCACCTATTACCTTAGGTAACTCTGGTAAAAACATCATCCTCCACTACCTTAATTTCTTTCCTATGCCCCATCCTTATCCTTCATGGTGATTTCAACACATACACTGATGACATTTGTGACATATTCTCTTCATGGTTCTTTGACTTCTTTGATTTCATTGATTGTATCTTGACTACATGCCCTTTTAGCAGCATGAATATATCTGGAGTCTTTATTGCTTCACTTACAAGATCTCAACTTTGCTCATCTCTTTAACTACATTTGCAGTACCTGCCTTCTTTCCTAATTCCTTCTACCTACTAAAATGAAAACATGTGGGATGCCTGGGTGGCTCAGTCAGTTAAGCATCTGCCTTCAGCTCAGCTCATGACCCCAGGGGCCTGGGATCGAGTGCCGCATCAGGCTCCCTGCTCAGCGGGGAGTCTGCTTCTCCCTCTGCTGCTCCCCCTGTTTGTGCTCTCTGTCTCTCTCTCTATCTGACAAATAAATAAATAAAATATTTAAACAAAAAAATATTTAAAACGAAAACATGTTCTTTTGATCACACTGTGATATTTAGTTGCTAGACACAACCTCCCCTATCCTCAACCCTTCACTTTATAAGACAAATATAAAGATGTTGGCAAAAAAATTAGGTGACAATCAAGGCATTAAGCAGTTCAAAAAACCAGCAACCAAATTTAAGGAAAATATTGGGAGAAGACTACACAGACAGGAAAGAATTATGTGTCTATATTGGGAGTGATGGCTTGGGAAGTCAGTATATCTACAAGCTGGTTTTCCCCTAAACTAAAAGACTGGTAGGAAAACAATAAAATAGCAAAAAGAATCTGTCTCTTAATTGTTCAAAATAAATGTCTGAGCATGGATTAGAGTTACTTATAGCAGTAACTCTTAAACTGGTATCTGGCTGTGATGTGACGCTTTATGACTCTCTCATCATAACTATTTATTTAAACTGAACTCACAAAAGAATTCTAAGCCAGTTTAAGATTAACTCTACAAACAGTTGTTGCAACAACTGTTTTTAACTGAAGACCTCTCCTGTCATCTGCTTCACTATGTAAACTGTTCATTAAACAAACGAACAAAAATCTGAGGTCATCGGTGAGAATGGTGTTCTATCTCTGTTTATTTTGTCCTTTGGGAAGCAAAATTACCCCAGTTGTGAACTCCTAAAGTAATTTTTAAAGCTGGGCTTTCAAATGTCTGCACCCTCACTTTACATAGGATTTTCCTCAAATCCCACTTTTCACAGAGGTCTTCCTGACCACTCCAGCTAGAAAATCTCTTGTCAAACTTTGTATCCACTCACTTGCTTTATCTTTCTTCTCAGTACTCACTGCTAGATGCATTATGTCATGGTTGTGTCTCATTACCTGTGTCTTTCCCCTAGAGAGTAAGTTGTACAGCACATGGATTTTAGTCTGGTTCGTCCCTAGGATACCTCCAGCACCCATTGCCTGGCACCTAGAAGTCACTCTATAGGATTTGTTAAATAAGGAAATAAACTGTTGATCTTATTAGAGGGAATATCTAGAAGCTGACACAAGTGACATATTACTGAAGTTCATTTTTCTCAATACCTTAGACCACATAGAAATGCATTTGGGGACATAACTGCTTCTTTGTCTCTATGTATACTTTGTTAGAAAAGGGATTTTAAGGCAGTTGACATTAAACCTAATTTGAATCTAAGTTAAAGTTAATGAGTTTTCTAGTTTCAAAATTGGAGTTTAATATACCCCTGCACTGGAAAAAACCATTGAATGGATCACAAAGATACCAGATTTGTCTTATTTGAGACACCTGATACATTTGTCAGTCAACAGTGGTATCAGAAATGAAGCAGTAAGAAATTATAGAAGAGAGTTTTGATAAAAAAAAAAAATTTCCTGTATTGGTTGATGAGTAACTTTATTAGGCTTTGAAAAAACCCAAGACACTGACAAGATAAGATTGCTTTAAGGTACCTGTTTGAGATTAATAAAATTCAGCGAGTGAGTATCCCAACCTGATGCACTGAATTTTAATGCAGAATAAGGACAAATATATCAATGCATATCTAGCAGGCAAAAATAAACTGAAGAAATTTTTAACCAATTTAGCAGTCAGATTATCTATAGTATTGTCCTAGAACTTAGTATCATTATTACCATTCATCTTAAACAAATCAAGCTAGGAGTTTATTAACACAAAACCTTACCTTTCATACCAGCTCTCTTTGCATTATCAATAGTTAAAAGTATTTCTACTGCATTTTGAGCATTATCAGATAACTTTTCTTCACCTTCAGGCCAAGGGATATCTACAAATACAAATAGCTTGTTAATCATTGTTCAAATAATACACAGAGATAAATGCATCTGTCTTAATAGAAAAAGAATCACCTCTTTTCAGAATATTTTGGAATACTTGTTGTGGTGTTTCATCATTGAAAGGAGGAATTCCTGTTAGAAACTCAAACAAGCAAACTCCAAGTGCCCACCAGTCTACTGCAGGACCTGGAATTTAAAAGGGAGTAGTTGAACTTGCAAGCATTTTGTGCAAATGTTTCATCAACTAAAACGTTAATACATGGATATTTGGGCACAGTCAAGGCATTCATTTCCTAAGGCTTTCTTCTAGTTCCATAAGGTACAAAAACCCAAATTATCTTCATTTCAGTAACATGGCAATTATTTTCCTTCTATTCTCCAAGAAGTTTAGATTAGCAATTAACACAGCTAGTCAAAGAAAAGTTAAAGCTATCTTTCTTTTGTCACTCACTAAAAACCTCTCATATTCTGGATATTTACTTGTTCTAAATCCTAAAACACTATGAAGAAATACATTTAACCTATAGATTACTCTCTAAAATAGAGTACTTGTCAATTTCAAATGGGGGGAGGGAAACAATAACATTTAGATGGTTTTGTACTCCACTTGCTCACATGGGTATGAGATGAAATAGCAACATTTATACTAATTGGAGGACAGCCTGGTTAACAAAGGAAAGCCTTACAGTGTTTTAAGGTCCTCTTACTCCTTTTAAAAACAGAGAAAGACAAATTAGTTTAATAAAAAATATTCACTTAAACTCTGGCTTGAGGAGGTAATTAGGAGGTCTTTTTTTTTTTTTTTAAAGATTTTATTTATTTATTTGACAGAGAGAGACACAGCGAGAGAGGAAACACAAGCAGGGGGAGTGGGAGAGGGAGAAGCAGGCTCCCCACTGAGCAGGGAGCCTGGTGCAGGGCTTGATCCCAGAACACTGGGATCATGACCTGAGCTGAAGGCAGACGCTTAACGACTGAGCCACCCAGGAGCCCCAGGAGGTAAGTCTTAATAAATACGTAAAACTGATTTCTAAAGATCTTTACTGGAAGCATCATCTATATACAAAGATGTTTCAAACAATTATTTTAAACATGACCTTATAATCTGGTTTATAGTTTTGTTAGTTCTACGAAAAAATATTTCTGAAGCAAAGGTTAATTTTAGTCAAAAATGATTAACTTCAATATAAATTTAAAATAGGAATTCTAGTCTAGTACTAAATGTGCTTGAAAATTACTCTTTAAAATCAATTTCATGGGACGCTTGGGTGGCTCAATCAGTTAAATGTCTGCTTTTGGCTCAGGTCATGATCCCAGAGTCCTGGGATCGAGCCCCATGTCGGGCTCCCTGCTCAGTAGGGACTCTGCTTCTCCCTCTCCTGTTTCCCCTCTCCCCTGCTCGTGCTCTCTTTCTCGCTTGCTTGCTCTCTCTCAAGTGAATAAAAAAAACTAATAAAAAAACTGCTATAAAATCAATTTCACAAAATTCATTATTGTGGTTAAGCAACTGCCACCATTCCATTTTAAAACAAGTAGGAAAGCACTGTAGAATCTGCCATTAGGAAAATAATCGCATGCATTTAGAGTGCCTCTTCATTGCAAGCCACATAATCCCATCTTCCGTAAGGAACAAAGAATGTAAACAGTCTATAGACTTCTATTTCTATAATAATCACTATTAAAAAAACATACAAACCACTTTGGTTAGTAGACCTTTTAAGCAGCACTGAGAAAGAATAGATAGTATAACCAAATAACAGAAAAGTAGGAGAGAAGTCAGGAAAAAATATGTATCTTCATTATTTTACTTAGGTTAGAAACTAGAACCCTTTTCCCAGCTCAGCCAAAATGTACTCCTGTCAAAAACTGACATGATTTCTCCATGGATATGTCACACATACCCATATATTTGAGTCAAAGTCTAATAAGATCACACATGATGATAAATTGTAGCAATTATAATACATACCATTAGCCAGAGAAATAGAACAAACTTGTTTCACACTATTGGTTTTCTAATATGAAACCCCCATCTGTAATTTGTACACTGATACTGTTAGGCCTTTCTGTTTTCTAATAATAATGGAATTAAATGGGTAGGAAAATTCAAGCTCTTTTGTCGGTGCTAATTTTAATATTTTTTATTAAGCCTATTTTCTGGGTTGCAATAAAAAGGCTGTATCTTCACTCTTTGCCACCTTTAAAAGTTATTTAAAAAATGCTACATGCCTACATTTGTTTTCATAGAGAACATTCTCCCTGGATGTCCTCCTGTTCAGAAGATAGAATACAGTTCATTTTGTATTTCCTAAGTAAGATGAAAGGGAAAATACTTTTTTATGCAATGTGATCTAGTTATACTTTGACCAGTTTAATTTGCCTTGTCATATTACTTTATAGAGAAGCTCACTCACCGGAAGTCAGAAATCCTGCATGTAAGAAAAGAGTAGTTAGGTACATTGTATTAAAATCATGAGTTCATCCGCACATCATTCACCAAACTAGATCCTAAATATTATGCCAGACACAAGGGACACAAAGATAAATAAGAGAGCTTTTTCCAAGGAGAAATCAACCTACTCCAGGCAAGACAAAACAGATAATTTTGACACAATGTTAAGAGAAATGAAATAAAAATATGCACAAGAAGCTATGGGAAACTCTGGCCAGAGTTCCTAAGTAATTGGTAGAGGGGGGGAGACCATGGAGGGCTCAGAGAAGTCTTAGCTGTTCTCAGCATGATGTTTAGAAACAGAGAGGTCAATACAAGAAACAAAGTTGCTATAGAGACTGCCCTTGAGGCCTGGGATTTGGGGAAAGAGGTATAAAGCAGTGATTTTTCTTTTTAAATTATAAATTGCTTTGTACTGGGGCCCTGGATGGCTCAGTCGGTTAAGTGTCTGACTCCTGATCTCAGCTCAGGTCTTGATCTCAAAGTTGTGAGTTCAAGCCCTGCATTGGGCTCCACGCTGGGTGTGGAGCCTACTTTAAAAAAAAAAATTGCTTTGTATTTGTTATTTTAAGAACTGTGTATCAAATATTTTATAGAAAATGAAAATCTTAAAATAAATCACTAGATAGCTGAAGTAACTAGATGTCCCATTAAAATAGTGGCAAGATCCTAAAAAGCAAATGTTTATATGTGAAGCTTACTTTTATACTGTATCCTAAGTAGTGAAAACATATATTATAGGAAATGAGCTGGCAAACCTGTAACTTAGCAACATGGACACTGTACAAAAATCAGTTAGGTGCCCAGAGGAACTTAGTTGCTTTGGCTAATAAGGGGGAATTCGTATATGTGCTGCCGAAGCGAGCACTAATAAGGGGGAATTCGAAATGTGTTTCAACACTGTAGAGATTATTAACAGTGTTAGTGAGTACTACCAAGGAATCCTCCTGGAGTGCTAGGTAGAAGGGGAACCTAGACTCTCGTCTTAAGAAATTTTCTTAAGCTTTTGCAGTGGAGATAAATATAATAAGGTAAAATGACATAAGCTTTAAACAATTTCTAATAAAGCGACAGAGACATGGGGGCCTGAGTGGCTCAGTCGGTTAAGCCTCTGCCTTCAGCTCAGGTCGTGATCCCAGGGTCCTGGGATTGAGCCCCGCATTGGGCTCCCTGCTCAGTGGGGAGCCTGCTTCTCCCTCTCCTTCTGCCCCTGCTTGTGCTCTTTCTCTCTCTCAAATAAATAAATAAAATCTTAAAAAAAAAAAAAAGTGACAGAGACGTGAACAACTACTTCTTCATAGTTGGCCAATGGATGCTTTGTGAAAGAGGTAACATTTGAACTGATAATGAGATGAGAAGAAATTTGATTGGAAGAGGATTGGGTTCTGGCTTTTTTCAACTAAGGCAAAATACTTGTGCAAAATAAGGAAAACCTGAAAATAATGTGTCTAAGAAGTGGAATGGGAACATAAGACCTATAATGAGATTCTTTGAGTCCGCCAGTGCCTCGATCGTAGACTACCCAGACTCCAAACTGTGTGTGCGAAACACATTTTTGTTGTTTATAAAAGAAAGAGAGATTCCTTGAGAGACGAGGCTAGTATAAGAGCTTAGAGCCTCCGATGCCATGATCAGTAATCTGGATTTTATTCTGCAGGTAGGAAGGTGCCAATGTGGTTTTTAAGGGGAGAAGTAGAATGACGGACCACTTTATGTCTTAAGAGGGAAAATGTGGTGGCAATGATTATAGACAATAGGATGAAGTTGATGTCCCAGGAAGAGAGCTAGTAAATTAATGAAAGGGAAAGAGGAGGTTCTTATAGAAGATAGTGGCAGAGATTAAAAGGTGAGAAGAAATTCTGCAGGGACAGAATTGACTGGATTTAAATGCCTGAATGCAGGGACAATGTCTGTGTCATCACGCAGATGGCAGGATTGAGAGAGGGAACAGAGGAAGAGCAAGCTGGACACATCCTGTATTGACACACAGCACTTGAATCCCCAGTGCAATGCTGCGTAGGTACTTTGGCCATGTGTATGCTGCCTAGAGAAAGTCAGGATTAGAGACAGATATTTGGTAAGCATCGACAAGGATGTGACTGCTGAAGTCATGGGAGAGATGAGATTAACAGGAAGCAGGGGTAGGGAAAAAAGGGAAACGGCAGGATCATGAAGAATCTTTATATATTGAAGAGCTAAGGAGTTAGCAACAGAGGTAAGACGAAGGAGACTGTGAAGAGGCACGTAGATCTGACAAGAATGACATCATTGATGACTGTTAATAAAAAAGTGTCAGTTACAGGCACCTGGCTGGCTCTGTCAGTAGAGTGTACGACTCTTGATCTCAGAGTTGTGAGTTCGAGCCCCATGTTGGGTGTAGAGATTACTTACAAATAGAAATTAAAAAAAAAAAAGTGTCAGTTAAATGGTAGGGATAAAAATCAGATTGCCAGAGCAAAAATAATCAGCCAAAGGAAGGAGGCAACCTTTGAGAAGGTGGGTGGTGGGGAAAGACAGGGGTGGAAGCTTATGTGCAGGCTAAGGAGAAAAGGCAGCATAGAAATAAAAATAGAAGGGGTGTGTGTGTGTGGGTGGGGGTGAAGATGAGACAGTTGATTACCAAAGGAGCCCGAAGAATAGGGAAGTAACTGACAAGATCAAGAAGGTGATCACATTATGGACTGAATTATGTCTCCCTGAAAAGACATGTTCAAGTCTTAACCCTGAGGTCCTCTGAGTATGCCATCTGCAAATATGGTCCTTGCAGAGGTCACTCTGGAGTAGGGTGGGTCCCTAATCCAGTATGACTGGTGTCCTTATAAAACACAGCCACGTGACCATGGAGACAGGGAGAATACCACATGCTGGTTTGAGTGAGGCCCCTGCAAGCCACGGGTTGCAGGCAAACCACCAGAAGCTGGAAGGGGCAAGGTCGTTCCCCTACACCTTTCAGAGGGAGCATGGTCCTGTCCACGCCTAGATTCCAGACTTCCAGCTTCCAGAACTGTCAGACAATAAATTCCTGTTGTTTTGAACCATCCAGTGTGTGGCATTTGATTACAGAAGCCCTAGGAAACCAGTACAGTTCATTTCAGAAGGCAGGAAGGGAAAATTCTTCAGAGAGAGGAAGGGGAAAAAAGACGCTAGGTAAAAACATCCCCGTGGTCTTCCTCTGTTGCATCCTGAAGATGGCTCCTCTCTGGCTTGACCCTTGTGGTGAGGGTCTTCTAAGTTTCTGAGGGCAAGCTCTAACCAGGAGTGCGCTGCTACAGACTGAACGGAAGTTTTGGCTCAACTCTGCATTCCTGAGCCAAAGCTGGAACAGACCTGAGGAGACTTTCTGAACTAAGATGACAGAGCAGGTGGGTGGTAGGACTTGCCTGGGTCCCGGAGACTGAATGGGAAGGCAAAGATCAAATGGCTGCATGTCTTCTTTTACCGTAAGAAATGCCATATTTACAAGAAAAGAGTGTCACATGAGTTCCTTTTCTCTTAGTCTAGGCAATTCAAATACCAAAGAAATTTAGAACAATTTTACCTCAAAAGAAAATGCAGTGCTAGAGAACACTTCAGAAACTCAAGACATGGAAGCCTTACCATGGGCTCTGCCCAGTAACAGCTCAGGTGCGAGGTAGTCCGGGGTCCCAAGAATCCGCCCATCATCCACGGGGGCTGCCCCTCGCCTCACACTCTTTGGAGTTCGGTATGGAGTTCCTGATTTGACCTGATTTGGGGTCTGCTAATTTAAAAAGAGTTTATAATAAATATCTTCATTTCTTTTCTTTTCAAGATTTTATTTATTTATTTGACAGAGAGGGAGAGAGCCAGCACAAGCAGGGGGAGGGGCAGAGGGAGAAGCAGGTTCCCTGCTGAACAGGGAGCCTGATGTGGGGCTCGATCCCAGGACCCTGGGATCATGACCTGAGCCGAAGGCAGACACCTACCTAACCAACTGAGCCACCCAGGCGCCCCATATCTTCATTCCTTTTACAGTGAACAGAAATGCTAAAACAAAAGCAAAGCTAGGCTGCTGGGCATACAAGACATACTCAAATCCTTGATCAGTTTTGAAAATGGACTCATTACCAACTATAATTTTGAACAGTCCTGATATCTGGTGAAATTAAATAGCTTAGATAAGACCAATTATTTCAATAAGATCGAGATATGCAAGAAAGAATGAAGAAATCCGCAAGAAAAATTTCTTTCTTGGTAGAATGGATTAATACAAACTTAAGAATGGTCACTGAGGGATGTTGTGGCTGACAAATGATTGAATTATTGGGACAACACATCAGCTGGAACAAAATATAAATAACTTCTTGTGCTAATTGGTATGTAAGTTTTAAAGATACTTTGTGGTCTCACAAGGACTCTGTGAGACCAGTGGGAGAGGTGTCAGCATATTCTAAGAGAGATAAGAAGCTGAGGCTCTGAGGAAAACAGACTTCTAAGTCACTCAGTAAGTTCTGAATAGAAAACTCCAAGTCTTGTGATCCTAATTCAGAGTTTGTACTTTCAATTTTATGTCATGTCTCCAAAAAAAGAAAAAAAAAATGAAACTTTGGGTTTGTTAAGATAAAGGTTTAGAAAATAAAAATAACGTAAGATTTGAAATATATATTTTCCAACTATTTTCTATAAAGAAAAGAGATAATCTAGGAAGGTCCTTAAAAGGGAGTAAGATAGAGTGAACTTTAATATTGTATCTTAGAGTTGCTGTCGTCAAGTGAAAATATGTGACTGTAAATATGTAAACATGTGATTGAAAATATGTGAAAGTCTAGGGGCGCCTGGGTGGCTCAGTTGGTTAAGTGGCTGCCTTTGGCTCAGGTCATGATCCTGGGGTCCTGGGATCGAGCCCAGCATTGGGCTCTCTGCTCAGTGGGGAGTCTGCTCCTCCCACTCCCTCTGCCCCTTCCCGCTGCTCGTGCATGCATGCGCTGTCTCAAATAAATAAAATCTTAAAAAAAGAAAAGAAAATATGTGAAAGGCTAGAAGCAAATGAAGAAGTGCTATAGTTAATAATAATAAATTGCTACCAGCTTTACCTTTTGGCATCAAAACCTCCAACAATCTATAGATTCCCAACCAGCAGAACAGAAAATCTCAGATAGTCTAGGTGAGAGGCAAGTATCTGGCCTTCATAGTTTATGGCTATAAAATCTAACGACAAAGTGTCAAAAAGTTAGAACATACCTGATATGGCATATAGGATGTTCCTTTTTGATTAGGGGTTATAGCCATGGGATATGAACCACTATAAACACAGGAAATATCCATTCCATCTAAAGAGGTAATGCTCATTTCGGATGGTTCTGAGTTTTTGGACGCATTGATATGACTGTTAAAACTTCGAAAAGCTACAGCATTTCTTTTAGATAAGGTTAATGTTTTCAACACCTCCGAAGACGGAGCTAACATTTTTTGGCTACTGCCTTGGACAGCAGGATTCTCATCACCTTTCGGCAAGGTATTTTCCTGCCAGCTGGGTGATACGGTAAGTAGGTCTTCAATGTTTGATTCTTCAAAAGAGGATTCTTTGATGCTTTTATCTGGATCTAAGGAATGCCTTTCTAATGAACTTTCCATGATAGAAATTCCGGGAAAAGATGAATCGGAGTCTATACAAATACTTTTAGAAGCTCTCTCATCGTCGGAACATAGAAAACTAGAACTTAGGAGGTCCTTCTTGTTATTCTTGTCACAATCCTCATCCAGTTCACACAGAAGGTTTTTTGCTATCATCGGGGTAGGTGATTTTTCTGGGGTGTGTGGTTTATCAATGAAAGAATTGACCATGTTCTCCTTATCAGCACAGTCACTTTGCTGACCACATACCAATAGCTTCAGGTCTTGGACTTCAGTTGTTAAGCCTGTCCTTTGATTTATATAATCATCGCTCATTTCATTTCTAGACTTCTGCTCTATACAGTTTTTTTTATTCTGTATGATGTTCTGCCAAGGACTAGAGTCAACTAACTCAAAATTTCTTTTAAAACCTCTTTTTCCGAGGTGCTCTTCAGTCCTATCACCAGAATCCACAGCCCACTCCTCTGACTGGTGAAAACCAGACTGTGCTGTGTCAGTGGCCACATGAATATTATTTATATCCAGTTCTTTTGCTTCCCAAGAAACTTCCCCGGGGAAGCATTTTTTAGCCAGGTTTACACAAGAGCTTCCAGTCTCAGGAATGGTACTGCTGTTATGAATGGGAGAAAGCACTAACTCAAGATCCTTTTTATTGAAATCTTTGGTTTCAATGGAATCGGTAGATTTTGTACATGAAGGCTTTTCTATTATATTCCAACTCATCACTGTAGAGCCCAGTGCATCGTCACTTTCCTGAGAGGGAGGAAAAAACACTTTTTTAGTTGTATAAAACTGAGATTCTTGAACCTTTTAAAACCTCTCTTGACTTAGGTGGGATAAATGACTCCATAAACTACTACGCTACCCATTCCCACTTTCCATTGGAACAAAAGAGCAATGATAACAGAGAATTAAAGAGCAATATAAACAATTAAAGCATGTTTTTATATATATTTTGAATGAAACACTGGTCTAAAATTCAAATAAACTATTCTTTAATATGTCTTTTCATAATTTAATATATGTTTGTATAATGTGTATTTGATATTCTATAATACATGTTTTCTTTTTTTTGTAAGATTTTATTTATTTATTTGAGAGAGACACAGCGAGAGAGGGAACACAAGCAGGGGGCGTGGGAGAGGGAGAAGCAGGCTTCCCACGGAGCAGGGAGCCCAATGTGGGGCTCGATCCTAGGACCCTGGGATCATGACCTGAGCCGAAGGCAGATGCTTAACGACTGAGCCACCCAGGCGCCCCTCTATAATACATATTTGATACATGTTCTTTAGCTAGGACAAATTAATAAGCAACATTTTCAGGCAAAGTCGAGGGTAACGCTATATTATATAGATATTTTCTTTGCAATACGGGTATAGACGATTCTGTTTTGAATTACAAAATGCACAGGACTTAAAATACAGTTAATGGAAAATTATAGACAAAAATTTTGTTAATGTAAAACAGGTATCACTTCGTACACGTATAATAAAACCAAGCTGATAAAGATAAAGCTAAACTAATCATGATTTATAATTAAAACCCCAAAATAACAGGAATTAAAATCCACTGTCAAGATGAAATGATGAGGCATTGATAACAAACCACTTTCCTTAAAATCTGTTTGAATTCTAACTATCTGCAGGTGCTTTTGTGTGATCAGAGCTTTATACAGAGTATCATACATTGGTGTATGGTAATCTGGATTTTTACAAGATTACTCAGTAAGAGTGTGTCTTCAATAAACTCAAATACTGCCTATTTTTGGTATGTAAAAATCAGACTTTATTAACTTACTTAGTAATAATAAGGAGTGCTTAGTCATGAACAACAATAACAAAAATCCCTAAATTACAACTCATAGATCTGCAGGCACAGATCATCCAGGGATTAGCACAGGGTTTATCAGGGTTCCCTTGTAGTCCATCGTCACTCCTCTGATCCTAACTTGAGAAGCACTACTATAATCCAAACATTGCATTCCCCACGGATACAGAAGTGGTAGGGAGAAGGTAAAGCTGTGTATGGTTTGAAATATTATACAATATGCCTTCTTGAACAGCAAAGAGGTGAAACAAGTTATTAGGAAAGGAAATCTGTTTATCCTGTAGCGTGTATTACCTGTAGAGCAGCCTATAAGAGAAGGAAAAAAGATCAAGAAACACTGACTTCACTAAAAAATAATCTGACTTTACTTCTAGAACACAAATATCCAACAATGAAGAAAATCATATTACTGAGAATAAGGAGTAAATACAATCCAAATTATTTACTCAAACAGAAGGTTTACTTTTTGCGTATTGCCATTATTCTAATCTAACATTATTTTATCTGCAGTCTATGAAGGAAACTTTGTTATAATTTAAAACTTGGGGCGCCTGGGTGGCTCAGTCGTTAAGCGTCTGCCTTTGGCTCAGGTCACGATCCCAGGGTCCTGGGATCGAGCCCCGCATCTGGCTCCCCGCTCCGCGGGGACCCTGCTTCTCCCTCTCCCACTCCCCCTGCTTGTGTTCCCTCTCTCGCTGTCTCTGTCAAATAAATAAATAAAATCTTTAAAAATAAATAAATAAATAAATAAAAAAGCCCATCTAGATGCCCTGAACCAAATATTTACTATCATTTCTCTGCAAGCTCATTATATATTAATCATGAATAATTCTGCATTTGAATGAGAAATGAAATATTTAAAAATAATTTGACAGATTATACATGGAAATGAAAACTACCTTGACTGCCATTCATGTAACAGTTTCATTTCCTTATAGAATGTACATGGAAAGGTATAAAGTGTCTCCACCGTTAATGTGCACAGGAAAGAGGCTGGGGTTGGGATAAATGTCACTCTAACCTGGCAGTCCTTCTCCCATCGGGGGCTGCTGTGGCACTCAGACTCCGCACTGGATATGAAGGTGTGGGACTGGCTGCTGGCACTGGATGTAGGCAGCCTTCTCCTGGACTGCAGGAGATTAGACGTTAGGCACTTCACAGGCATCCCGGGATTGGAGGCAACTGTTTCAAGACCTATAGGGAAGAAAAAATATTGGGGCTTATGTCACATCTTTCTGAGTTCCTCACCAAACTTGAATCTTTCCAGATAATTAGGCAAAGTATTAAGTATTGTACATCAGAGCTCTGTCTGTGTAAACATTATCCGATCCACCAGAATGGCTCAGGTGTTTTGGACATACAAGTACTGTTGTGAACGTTTAGGGAAAAAAAAGCAAACCCTCAACATTCACAGGTGAAAATCAGGACAAAAGAACTAAGCTGTAATTAGGAGGAAATCCATTATCCACTTTAAAACTCTTCTTGTAAAGGAGCATTATTGATATGCTATATCCAGATATGATATGATAGGAATGTGACTAAATTTACTCAGTTCAATTTGTATTTAATTAAAACCATAGCTTTAGGGGCACCTGGGTGGCACAATCAGTTAAGGATCTCTTAGGTTTCCACTCAGGTCGTGATATCTGGGTCATGAAATGGATCCTCGCATCAGGCTCCAGGCTTAGGATGGAGTCTGCTTGAAATGCTCTCTCCCTCTCCCTCCCCTCCCCGCCTGTGCTCTCTCTCCCTCTCAAATAAAAAACATAGCTTTATTCTAATGTTGAGGCTTATGTGCTCACAAGGGTGAATTATCTATCCATAAGGGACTTTTCATACTACTGGGTAAAACAAGTAACAGTGAATTGGCTAACAGCAAGCCAGTACAAGAAAGCAGCATCACCTACATGATACATATTTGTCTATCAAATAATGATGCTAAAAACTGTTGTTCCTGAACTTATGAGACACAATAGGCTTTTACTAAAGATCATAATATGTGTATATACAGATTTTCTATGTATATAAAAAGATATGTATATCTTGTCTTTTCTTTCCCAAAGAAGGGGAACTCATGACTTTAATCTCAAGTAAATTCTTACAATTTTTTGATTTAATGAATCTTGGAACTTTAAAACTAGAAATAGAATTTCAATGGCCATCTAAAGCAACTTTATTTTTGGTACATAAACCCTCTCAATGAAATTCCTCAAACTCATTGGACACTGACCTTGACATTTGACTAAACTGCTCAGCTTGCCACCCGCCGCAGGAATGTGGAAATTTGTGTCTACCCCAATGCCATGTGCATACTGTATATTTGCTAAAGAGTTTTCTGGATCAGTAATATGATCAGACCATTCCTTTGGAACTTTTGTGTTTTTTGGTTTGTTTGTTTTTTAAAGATTTTATTTATTTATTTGACAGAGAGAGACACAGTGACAGAGGGAACACAAGCAGGGGGAGTGGGAGAGGGAGAAGCAGGCTTCCCGCCGAGCAGGGAGCCTGATGTGGGACTCGATGTGGGGCTCGATCCCAGAACCCTGGGACCATGACCTGAGCCGAAGGCAGATGCTTAACGACTAAGCCACCCAGGCGCCTCTTTGTTTGTTTTTTTTTTTAAGATTTTAGTTATTTATTTGACAGAGAGAGAGAGAGCACAAGAAGGGGCAGAGGGAGAGGGAGAAGCAGGCTCCTCATTGAGCAGGGAGCCCAATGTGGAACTCGATCCCAGGACCGTGGGATCACGACTGGAGCCTAAGGAAGACGCTTAACCATCTGAGCCACCAGGCACCCCTCTTTGGAACTTTTGAGGACTCCCCTTTTTCTACAGCTTAAATTCTAGGTTCCCTGTAATGACACTTGATCCTTCCCCATCTACCTGCTAAGCTTCCTTTCCCCTTGCCCATGCTTCGCATTCTCACATAACACGTTTAGTCCCCATTGTCTGAAGATGGAATACTTCCAAGTGTCTGTGCCTTTGTTCATGCCTCTCTCCGAAATGCCCTTTTCCAGTACATTTGGAGCTATTGCTATATCTTCATTGAGAACCATTCCTGATTTTCCCAGTTAGCATTTAACACTTTCTGTGTTGTATCACAGTATCCTTCTTGCGATTTTATTTTAGAGGATTGCTATTGTTATCCCTTTACACATGTAATCAACACAGAATTACAAGTTCTTCTGAGGCAAGGACCTCTCTTATTCATCTTGATATCCACTTGGTGACCAGCAGTGCCTTGCCCTGATTTACTTCTGACTAGATTTAAAAAACAACTAAGGGAGATGCAATTACTTTCATTTAAGAATAAGGCTGTAGTAACATCTGCATATTCTGTATTTTAGTAGTTTTTATTATCAAAGCTATTTATGTTTTTCAGCCATTTTGATTTCCACAGAAGTGATTTTGACAGAAGAAATAAGACTCATTGACTTTGGAAGAAAGGGTCAGTGGACAGATAATTATAGTTGCAATCAGGACTTGGCTTACCCACTTCTAGTGTGTAACTATTTTCAAACATTAATTTTCTCATTTGTAAGGGAGATATCCTGGATATGTACAGATATGTACAAATTCAAAATGAGGTAACATCTACGAAAACATGTAACACTAATTGCTCTTCAAAGCATCATTATTCACATTCCCAAGATGAAGAACATCGAGTGCAGAGATCTAAATCATCCACCATTGCTAAGTTATAAAAGGTGAAGTTAAGTGCTATACAAATGTCCCATTCTCTTCCTCTACTACTTAACTTTTGTTTTTCATTGTGAGCTAATGAAAAATTATATCTTTACTTCAACTATTTTATTTCAAAATCTTTTGGAAATAATTTTATAAAGATACAAAATATTATAGGTACTACATCTTCTCTATTTAAGATTTCCATAGACCCAGTATAGTGAAATTTACCCAATGATCATTCTAATACCAAGCTAACTGAGGAATGTCTCATTAGCTAGGTATTTTATTCTGTTGACTTAAAGATCTACAATAGGGGCGCCTGGCTGGTTCAGTGAGTAGAGCATGTGACTCTTGATCTCGGGGTTGTAAGCTCCAGCCCTATGTTGGATATAGAGATTACTTAAAATAAAATCTTTATTTAAAAAAAAAAAGATTTGCAACAATCTGTGTCAGAAATGGCATTCACGATAGGAATGCCACAGACTGTTCAGGTATTTGTATTTCAAACCCATATTAGAAATTTTTTTTTTTAAGATTTTATTTATTTATTTATTTGACAGAGAGAGACATAGCGAGAGAGGGAACACAAGCAGGGGGAGTGGGAGAGAGAGAAGCAGGCTTCCCGCGGAGCAGGGAGCCCGACGCAGGGCTTGATCCCAGAACCCTGGGATCATGACCTGAGCCAAAGGTAGACGCTTAACAACTGAGCCACCCAGGCGCCCCCCATATTAGAAATTTAAAAATTCAAAAACATTTTGTTCCTCAAAAGACACACTTAATGGAATAAACTACCTTTTCTTTTATACTCACATGAGTTTAGTAGTTTGCTAGAATAAGGAAAAGTGTCCCTGTGATCTACAGACATAGGACAAATTAGTCCTTGAGAAAGCTGCGATGTTTCAGATACATGGGTTGAAATAATATTTGCAGAGTCTTTATTTTTTTCTGCAACTGGTGTGTACTATTAAAGAGAGAAAAACAAAAACAAATGCTAAGATTTACCTCCACAAAAACATCACCTAAATACATAGACTGTTATACCACCTAAGTAGATAATGTTAAAGTAACTCAACATGCTTGATATTTAAATTTATTTTGAACATTTATTTAAAAAAAGCATTTAAAATTTTAAACGGCAATCACTAAAGGGCATGTCATGTGACTTTTTTCTAATCAAGTACTTACAAATCCCAAAGAGCTGATGAGAGATAACACTTGTCCTGGGGTTCTTGAATAATCTTGTCTAGGTTTAGCCATTGATGGTGTTGTAAGGATATCCATCATATTGATGTCTATGTATGGAAAGAAAAGTATATGAAATTCTTTAAAAACTTCAATGTTATTGTCTTACTAGCCACTAATCATCTGTTCTGAACTTTGTCCCCTTTCCACATTATCTATATAACACTGGCTTGTGTAAGATGAATGTATCCAGAGACGCCACCATGCCACAGAGTAAACATATACAACCAAGCAGACAGAGGAAGACAAATACTGTACAATCTCTATTATATATGGAATCTTAAGAAACAAAACAAAACTAAGCTCACAGGTACAGAAAACAAGTTTGCGTGGGATGCCAGAGGCAGGGGTGGGGGATAGGAGAAATGGGTGAAAGGGGTCAAAAAAAAAAAAAAAGAGATAAATATTTCCCTATTTAAAAAAAAGCAACTGATTGAAATCATTAAACTTTGATAGAAAAGAGTCTTGCTCTGGAATGAATAGAACACAGTAATGACCCAAATTAGGGAGCACTCAATCACCAAACAAGAGTATTATCTAACTGGCAACAAAATAATTCTTGGTAAATCAAATACTAGAAAAGGATGTGGTAAGAAAAATTAAGACAGGAATATTAGGAATATAAATTAAAATTTCAAAATCACAATCTATTTAAGGAATTAGTACAAATTATGGGCCCCCCATTAACTAACATGTGCAAGTGTAGGTCAAGATAGAAATTGATGCAGAATTTTTATCAGTTTCACTACATAACTTTGTAAAATAATTCAACATTCACACATAATGTACTGTTTTCTTTAGATATCAAAAATGGTGGGTGCCTGTCAGGCGGTAGAGCATGCGACTCTTGATCTCCGGGTAATGAGTTAGAGCCCTAGATTAGGTAAAGAGATTACTTTAAAAAATTTATTTATTTAAAGGTTTTTTAAAAAATTTATTTATTTATTTGACAGAGAGAGAGACAGTGAGAGAGGGAACACAAGCGGGGGGGGGGGGGGGGGAGGGAGAAGCAGGCTCCCTACCGAGCAGGGAGCGTGATGTGGGACTCGATCCCAGGACTGAGATCATGACCTGAGCCGAAGGCAGACACCTAACGACTGAGCCACCCAGGCGCCCCTATTTTAAGATTTTTTATTTACCTGACACAGAGAGAGAGACTGTAAAAGCAGGGGGAGTGGCAGGCAGAGGGAGAGGGAGAAGCAGTCTCCCCGCCAAGCAGGGAGACCGATGTGGTGCTCAATCCCAGGACCCTGGGATCATGACCCGAGCTGAAGGCAGATGCCCAACCAACTGAACCACCCAGGTGCCCCTTAAAAAATAATTAAAAAAAATAATCACACGCCCCCCACCACAAATGGTAGGAAAAGTATAATATTCTATGTGGTATCAGACTTTTTTAAAAAGATTTTATTTTTAAGTAATCTCTACACCCAGTGTGGGGCTCGAACTCACAATCCTGATATCAGTATCTTCCACCGACTGAGTCAGCCAGGTGCCCTCCTATGTGATATCAGACTTTTAAAGGTAAGCTGAAAATTTGAACTTAACAAATTTTATTTATATCACACATTGATGAAGAAATAAGGACTAACAGATAACAATAAACATCTTAAAGAATATTTCATAAATTAGGGGCGCCTGGGTGGCTCAAGTGGCTGGGCGACTGACTCTTGATTTCAGCTCAGGTGGTGGTCTCAGAGTTGTGGGAGCCTCTGCCTCTCTCCCTCTGCCCCTCCCCCTGCTCATGTGCCCACGCTCTCTCTCTCTCTCTAAAATAAAAATAAATACATCTTTTTTAAAAAAGAATCTTTTATAAATTAAATGTTAAAAATATGGCAGTGATTTCTTGGATAGGATTCCAAAGGCACAGGCAAAAAGCAAAAATAGACAAATGGGGCTATGTCAAACTTAAAAACTTCTGCATATCAAAGGAGACAATCAACAGAATGAAAAGAACATACAGAATGGGAGGAAGTATCTGCAAATCAGTTATCTGATAAGGGGTTAATGTACAGAGTATATAAAGGACTACAACCCAACAACAATTAAAGAAATAATTATCTAATTAAAAAGTGGACAATGGATATGGACAGATATTTCTCCAAAGATAACACAGACAACATGATTATGAAAAGATGCTCAACATTAGTAATCAACAGAAAAGGCAAACCAAAACTATAATGAAGTATTATCTCATACCCATTAGGATGGCTAGTATCAAAAAACAGAAAATAAGTAGTGTTGGCAAGAACACGGAGAAACTGGAACGTTGTACATTGCTGGAGGGAATGTTAAATAGTGCAGCCACTATGAAAAACACAATGGAAGCTCCTCAAAAAATTAAAAGTAGAATTCCTATATGACCCAGGAATTCCACAACTGGGTATGTACAGGAAAGAATTGACAGCAATGTCTTTAAGAGATATTTATACATTCATGTTCACTGCATAATTCACAATAGCCAGGAGGTAGAAGCAACCCAAATGTCTACTGACACATGAATGGATAAAAAAAGTGGCATATATCCGTATAATGGAATGTTATTAAGCCTTTAAAAAGAAGGAAATCCTGTTACATGCTGCCATATGGATGAACCTTGAGGACATTATGCTAAGTGATATAAGTCAGTCACAAAACAACAAATACTCTATGATTCTACTCATATGAGGTGCCTAAAGTAATCAAACTCACAGATACAGAAAATAGAATTGTGGTTGCCGGGGTGGGGGTAAGGGGAGATCAGGGTATAGTGTTTCAGTTTTGCAAGATGAAATAGTTCTAGAGATCTGTTGCACAACAATGTGAATATAGTTAATACTACTGAACTTAAAAAAAAAAAAATTCACTTTCTAAAAATGGCAAATTTTTTATTATGAATTTTTTACTACTATTAAAAAAAGAGAAAAACCAAATTCAGAATCTGTATACTTAAAAGATGTTTGTCATATTACTATTTATACTAATACAAATGTAGAATTATTTGGGAGGCAAATTGTATTTTATTTTATTTATTTTTATTATTTTTATTTTTTATGTAAGCCATCTACTCAATGTGGGGATGGAACTCATGACCGCCATATCAAGAGTTGCATGCTCTACCAACTGAGCCAGGCAGGTTCACCATGGGAGCCAAATTTTAAATAAATCATCAGATAGGAAAAAAATAAAATAAAAAATATTAAACTGTTATATCACCATAACACAAAATTTATCTGATTTATGACTTTTTCCAGTATCTTATCTGAAACCCAGGGAGTTAGATTTGCCTCACAATTAAAAGATGTTTAGATTTTAGAAAGGTAATGTGATAAATATATAGTGTTTTTTTATTTTTTCGTTGTTTTTTTATTGAGGTATGACACACAATTTTACCTTAGTTTCAGTTGCACAACCTAGTGATTCAACAACTCTATACGTTATACTATGCTCACCACAAGTGTAGCTACCGTCTGTCACCATACAATGCTTTTACAATATTATTGTCTATATTTGCTATCCTGTACTTTTCATCCCTATGACTTATTCATTCCATACGGGAAGCCTGTGTCTCCCCCTCCCTTTCACACATTTTGCCCTTTTGCCTGTTCTCCCCCACAATCATCAGTTTGTTCTCTGTCTCCACTTTTTTTTGTCTGTTTTGTTTTAGATTCCATGATATTAAGTGAAATCATATGGTACTTGTCTTTCTGTATGACTTATTTCACTTAGCATAATACCCTCCAGGTCTGTCCATGTTGTCACAAATGGCAAGACCGCATTCTTTTTTTTTTTTAAACTTTAATTTTTTTTTTTTTTAAGATTTTATTTATTTGCAAGAGAGAGAATGAGAGACAGAGAGCATGAGAGGGAGGAGGG